TATAGCCTGAGTACTTGGTGTTATAGGCTCTCGAGGCTGGCTGGCTAGGTGACATAAGTAACAGGTGGTCAAACCATTTTAATGATCTGTTTTTCTATGGCAGGACTCAGTGCTAAAAGGCGCTCTTACTTTTTCCTTTCTCTGCCTGTCTCTTTTTGTGACGTGTAAGGTTTTGTGGAGACATTTCAATCTACCAATCTTACAGAATTTATGTTTGGATCATGGAAAAAATAATGAGATGCCCGCAAGATCCTTTACGATGATACAATCTTGACGACACCAGATTTTCTTTCTGTTGAACTACTGAGCTTGTTTTTCTGGTTCATGAAGCTTTGTGTGTGTGTGTGTGTGTGTGTGTGTGTGTGTGTGTGTGTGTGTGTGTGTGTATGTGTGTGAGGAAAGGTGATGAAGAACAACCTACTTAGACATTAGAGCAGTTGAACAGACTGCTGGTGGGGAGACCAGGTAAATGTAGGGTTTTGAGAATATCCTAGCAGAGAATGAGTGTTACCCATAACTGCCGATGTTTCCTCCAGATCCAGATAGATAGATAGATAGATAGATAGATAGATAGATAGATAGATAGATAGATAGAAAGATAGATAGATAGAAAGATAGATAGACAGAAAGATAGATAGATAGATAGAAAGATATTTCACCTGACAGACAGATAGATAGATAGATAGATAGATAGATAGATAGATAGATAGATAGATAGAAAGAAAGATAGATAGATAGATAAATAGATAGATAGATAGATAGATAGATAGATAGATAGATAGATAGATAGATAGATAGATATTTCACCTGACAGACAGATAGATAGATAGATAGATAGATAGATATATAGAAAGAAAGATAGATAGATAGATAAATATATAGATAGATAGATAGATAGATAGATAGATAGATAGATAGATAGATAGATAGATAGACAGATAGATAGACAGATAGATAGAACAGTCGGCAAGATCGACAGATAGATATTTCACCTGAAAATGAGAATATCGATCTTTCCGAAGGTGTGGATTGCCTTATCCAGCAGTTTCTTCCTCGTCTCGGTCTCCGTGATGTCCCCAGTCACCCCAACCGCGCTCTTTGCACTCCCGTTGCTTTTCTTGCATAGTGCCAGGCTCTCCTCTAGTCTGCCACTGTCGCGACCCTGAAAGTATCAGCATTTTAGGATACACAAAGTCAGATAATGATAATGATAATAATAAATAATAACTAGATGTAAATAATAAGTAAGAAATGAATATTTTTTAAAGCTAAATGATAAATAGCAAATAATAAATAGCACTTGTATAATGCATTACTCCGCTCTACTCAACTAATCTCAGATAATGATAATAATTTAAAAAAAGAATAAACAATGAATAATAAATAATACGTAAATAATAAAAATAATAGATAATAAAGGATAAATAATAAATGATAAATAGCAAATAATAATTAGCACGTGTATAGCGCGTTACCCCGCTCTACAGCAAACACTATGCGCTTTACACTATATTATTATTACCCCAGCAGACCATAGAATACTCAGAAATATTCTCAGCTTACCAAGAAGTATAGAGTGCAAGCAGCTAATTTATTATTCTTTTAAAGTAGAGGTTTTACGGTGCTCGCAACTGCATATGGTCATATGAGCGCCAAGGGGTGGATGTCAACAGAGAAGTCCTTTCAGGGAATCGGGCTTACTCTGCTCACCTCTCTAGCTTCAACAGCACAAAGTCTACTTCGGCTATCAAAGCACCCCGAAAATAGCGGGTCACAAGAGAGTGGCAAACATACAAAAGAAGTAGAGGAAAATAGTAAGGATGAGAAAAGAAAAAGTAGCAGTTCCTTGTTGCAATTCCGGCACAGATATGAGCATGACATTGATGAATCAGCCCATTTACAATTCTACTGTGCAACAGAACATGATAATGTACCCCCTTTGGGAATGGCTAAAATACACTTCAGTCAGTAGCACAGCCCCGGGGGGTAAGCAGCTGATTAAGCGCCCAAAAACAAACAAACTGACAAGATCTTTCACTGTCTATAACTGGTTACGCATTTTTAGCTGCGGGAGTGAGAAAAATTCGTGTCAAGTACATTAAAGTGCTTTTCCCAAGGACACAACGTCGGGTCCCTGACAGGATAACGTGAACCCACGCCCGTACGGTTGCGAGATTAGATGAGATGAGGAGAGGTGAGGATGCGATGAGATGATATGAGGTGAGGTGAGGTGAGGTGAAGGAGGTGAGGTGAGGTGAGGTGAAGTTGATTGTTTGTCATAAAGATAAACTACTTGAAGCCTGGTAAACACATACACGCAAACGCACTAGTTAATTTACATACTCAATCTCTTTTCTCTCGCTCTCTCTCTGTCTCTCTCTCTCTCTGTCTCTCTCTCTCTCTCTCTCTCTATCTCTCTCTCTCTATCTGCCTCTCTCTCTTCTCTCTCTTTCTTTCTCCCTCTCTTTCTCCCTCTCTTACACACACATACAGGCACACA